ACATAGAGACGTCAGTCGTATCTGGATCCTTCTCTCTTCTCCCTCTCCCTTCTCCCACAAACACACACACACACAGATCTCTCGAATTCTCGATCCTTCTCTCTTCTCCCTTCTCCCACACACACGCACAAAGACCTTTCTCGATCCTTTTCCCACATGGCCTTCTCCTCATCCATCGCCTTCCTCCTCGTCCACGTCTTCCGCCTCGTCGGCGAACCCAGGAACTCTTCGGCAAGTTCTCTTGATCCTTCTTCGCCTTCCTCACCGATCCCACCGACAATAACCCCACCTCTGTCGTTGACTTCAGCGACGACCATCACGACCCCCAATCGCCCCCAAACCCCAACCTCAACCTCCACAACAACCACCCATTCTCCTCCTCCCCCCGGAGCCTGCCCCTTAGCGCCGCACTCGCCTCCGTCTCTGTTCCACGTCTGCTTCAACCAAGACCATGCATGCTTCGCCGTGAGGACAGACCACGGGTTCATGATCTACAATTGCGATTCGTTCTGCGAGCTCTTTCGCCGCGACTTCGACAACGGCGGGGGAATCGGCGTCGTTGAGGCGCAGATCTTGGGTTTGAGCTTGGATTGCAGAGAGATATCTGGGCAGCTGGGATGACGCAGCCTCGACTACCTTTCCGACGACGGAGCCATGACGACTTTTTCGATGATATCGAATATATCATGATATTTTGATGATAATGAGACGGATACGTGGGAAAATATCGGTGTATCTGAAAAACGATAATATCGGCGATATATCGCTGATATTATCGATATTTTAGTCATTGGTTGCAGGGAAAGGGAGATGAGTTTTTTTTTCTTTTCTTTTATTTTCTAGGTTGGAGGTAGTGGGTGCGGAGGAGGTGGAGTGTAACACCCTGAAAACTTTAAATACATGAATTACATATTCATCATCAGGAATATGTGGAAAGAATCGAGAATTTATATTAATTTATTGAGTTTAGTCTTAAATTAATTTAGTTATGAAGTTTGGAATTTGGGAATTAATTATTTAAAATCCGTAGACCTTTTGAGGTCACAATTTATATTTTTGAATAGAGCCCGATCACACGAACAAGTAGGCACAAACCGTTCGTGAAACGGAGTTATAACAAAATAGTTATTAATGTTTAAAATCAGGGTTATTTTGGTAATTTTATTTTTATTTAGAAGGCTCCATAAATCTGGAGCCATAAGTTGTGCCACGTGTGTGGCTGTGATTGAAGAGAAAAATAAATGATGGATGGTTGTGATTAAAAGAAAAGAAGATGAAGGAATTGGGAGGGAGGGACCAATAGGGAGAAGGAACCAGGAGGAGAAAGGAGAGAAAGAGACACGGGGGATCGAGATGACCCGTGTGACCCGACTGTACAAGCCGGCGGTTCCTCGCCGTTTTTCGTCCAATTTTTTGACGAATTGGACCTATAAACCACTCTCAATCATCACCTTGGCCCGCTCTCTGAAGGGAAATAATGAGATTTATGTGGGATTTCTAGTGACTAGCATGCATATACAATTCAAAACTTATATACATTTGCAACGGAATCATAATATCAAAGCTTTAGTCATGCAAATCCCCTTCAAGAAGCATAGGTTCATATATGATGCATCTAACAAAATTGAAGAACAAAGTGAATGTATAGTTTTATACCTCTTGATCTAGATTTGAGACCAAGGATGGACCACCTCCAAGCTCTTTGTTCTTGGAACTCCTTGAGTCTAGCCTCCCTCCTTACTTCCTCCACCTTGATAGATTTAGAGCTCTTTTGATTCTCCTCTAGTCTCCAAAGTAGAAGACCTCTAAATATCCACACCTACTAGTGTAGTGAGATGGATAATGGAATAACCAAAAGGAGGAGAGATGATTAGCTTTCCCTCTTCTTGGTGGCCGGCTATAAATGTGTAGAGAGAGAGACTTGTTTTTCTCTTTTGTGAAAAAGAACACACAAACCCTAATGAAACTTTTTCACTAAACTTCCTTTATAAATGTCAAAGAAGTGAGTCAACCACTTGACTCTCTCTCTCTTTTTGGCCGACCCCTTTTGTGTTGTTTGGGCTTTGGGCTTTTATCAATTCAAGTCATCATATGCTTAAATAAAAGCCCAATGAGTTTGGGCTTAATAGGCCCATATTAACCCGAACTTTTCTTTAGGTCCAAAACGATATTTCATCGCTTCTATGATTTCTTTAGACTTTCTAATTAATCATAACACTTAATTAATCCAATTAATTTATTCCATCATCCTTTAGTTGTTTCACCACAAGAGTGTTTCGGTGTACAATCATTTTAGGTTCTAATTAGCAAGGCAGTGAGGTGATTGGCACCAATCCAATTGATTTGTATTAATCCAATCACTTAGTGAATTAAACTTACTTTCAATTCTCCTTCTTCTTTGATGACTACTTATTTAATCATCTAGAAGAACCCATAAGCCATGAGTGACATCTAACCATATATCATGGCTACCCAAGCTAATGTAAAATTTGTTCGGAGAATCTATTCAATTGGAATTACAATGTAATTTGATCATTCTCTAATACAATACTCACAATCATATTACTAGGGTATGGATATTTAATGTCAAACCCCTAATGTGATTATATCAAGTTATATGATTCTATTGAGTCGTATAGGAACGCTTTCCATCATTACGCTCGATACTTCAACCGAAGATTCCTGAATCATATCTTAGAGTATTCATCCTCTCATAACAAGGATTAGAGATCCCTTGTTGATCATTCACATGACTCTGAGAATAAATCATTGACCCCAACAATGCATAGAACACATCCAAGATAAGATGTGGTCACGTCTCGTTATCAAATGATCAGCAACGTATCCCCAAGACGACTATGATGTCTCAGGTCAAAGGATTACTTACATTATTTCAACCAGTAGAGTTACTTGCTTGACATGTGAGTAGACCTCCATGCAAGTACTCTCGTTTGATTGTGTTCAGTGAACTCATTCCCATAATGAGCACCTACATACTTGTCTTAGTGTTACTACACGAATGGCATGAGACTTTCCATCCTTCCCATTGGAAGGGGACATAGTATGTACTGGTCTATGTATTGTCAGTGTCCCTCCGACAATCCTATGACCAGGACCTTTTTGGACATTATGGTTATGTGAATAAGGTCTCTGCAGTCTAACATCATTAGATTACTTCTTCCATCCATCCATTGTCCATGGATTCACTATTTAGGACGTATATCGTTTATTGAGATAGTCCTAATGAGTGACTTTGCCTTTTGATGTATTAGAGTTTTCCATACATATAGACATTGTCTTGAAAGGTTTCTTCCAAAGATTGACTTTCAAGGCATATCTCCAACACTCTCTTCCTGTTCCACCAAAAATTTGAGGGAATTTGATGGTATTTTGGTACAAAAATCCTAATGGGTGTCGCGGGAGACTTTACCCAAAATCCATAAATTGTGAAATTATTTCATACAATTTCTTCCACTAAAACCCTCCCCTAGATGTCTAAAACAAAGCCCAAACAACTAAAGGGGCGGCAGAACACCTGAGATGAAGGATCCAAGTCACCCATTTATAAGGTTTCCGGCGGGTTCGAGGCAAATTGGAGTCTTTGCAGGCCAAATTGGACTTGGCCACATGTATAAAGTTTACTATACTCTTTGAGATCTTCATTTCTGTAATTTTTGAACATTTTTAGAAATAGTTAAATTTTCCAACGAGTCAGGGTGACCGGCTGCCACTAGCGGCGGCAGGTGAGGCGGCGCACGGTCAGGGAGTCGACATTGTGTTTTTATGCTTCTAAGAGAAAGAAATGCTTCTAAATAGGAAGTGAAATTGGATGTTTTGATATATGATTAATGGTTATGGATTACGTGGGATGAAGGAAATTATTTGGAGAATACTGACCAATGATAGTGAATTCAAATGTTAATTTAAAGATATGTTTTGACATTTAAGAAAATATGGATAGATTGTAGGAATTCTAATTATTGACTTAGAGGAATGTGATTAATGGAAATAAATTAACTATGATTCTAAGTTGGGCCTACTATAATTAACTCACGAAAACATATATTTCGGGGGCGGGGCGTGACATGGAGGATGGGGTGCACAGTGGGTTTGGGGAAGACAAGAGGGGGAAGAAAGGGGTGGGTAGCAAGGAAGGGGGTCGGGGAAGATGAAGATGGGTTTTTTTTTTCCTCTCCTCATCTTCTTCTTCTAGGTTGCAGGTTGGGTGGGTGGGGGTTGCGGGTTCAGCTTTTGCTTTTTTGGTTTTTTTTTTTAAATTAAAAAATTATTATTTTTGCCACGTGACACACATTTGAAAGCCACGTCAGCACTTAACGGATCAATGAAAGGAAAATGTAACAGATGTATTATTTTGAAATAAAATAGTACGTTAAGTATGAAAGTGAAATGTTTTAAAGATGTTGTATAGGGTTGTAATAGATCTCAAATCTGAGGGGCTACTATGTAATTTACCCTTATTTTTTTTTTGGTAAACTAAGTCCCTAAATTCATTAAAAATATAATTTCATCCAAACTGTTATATTCAAAGCTATTTTATCCAATTTTTCGTCAACTTAAGTCACTTGACACACTTTAGAGTATAACCCCGCCATTTTCTCACCTATAAACCCTTAACATTTCATATAGGTTGCGATCTAATGCCTAATTTACCCTTTAAAGTTAATTTCATGCACTATTTTTTTATTAAAATTACCAATCTACTATCCAATGTGTATCACGTGCAAATAATATGACTTAAATTAACGGAAAATTAAATATAATAGTTTCAAATCTAATATTAGAGATGTAATTAACAAATTTTTATAATTCAATGATAGATTTTTTATTAAAAAAAATAGTTTAATGACTTAATTTTCACTCGGATAATTAGTAATTCATCCAAACTCAAAATAATCCTGGCCGTAAGATGCGAGACGACAAAGCTTCAGCACTCCTGCCGAAACGACAGGCCGTTCAGCAGTGGCAGTAGCACGGTGAATCACAAAACAACGGCATCCGCGGCCTTCTTATCCAAGGCTGCAAAGCTCTCCGTTTTCCTTTAACCAAAACCCAAATGGTGGCCACTGCAATTTCCGCCATGAATTCCGTCGTGGCTATCAGTTTCTCGCAAAACCCATTCAACAACTACCGGAACCTCTGCAAACAACAATGGAGGAGGCCTATCTCACTCACACCCACCCACCTTTCCTTCCCAACTCCGACCAAAACTCGGCGCCCTTTACAGACCTCCACTCTCGTCTCCTCCTCCTCCTCCGTCCCCGCCGCCGTCGAGGACTACGAGGTGCTCTCTCCCTTCCTGTGCTTCTCTTCTCTGTCACTGTCTGTGTGGGTTGGATTTTGTTTTGCCTAATTCGAATTTAATGCAGTTTGTTGATGCTTCTTCTGAGGTGGAGTTGAGATTACAACTCGGGGGTCGAAATTTCGAAAACTCGAGAGATATATTTGTGGATGCAGATGGCACCTCATTGACAATAAAAGTACAGCATTCTGGGTCTCTTATCACACTTGTGGAAACTAATCATCTCTTTGATAAAATAAAGCCTTCTGAAACAATATGGTTTGTGAAACTAAAAGCAATGTTAAATTTATAGGCTTGTTTTTAGCTATGACACATGTACTCTTCACCAAATCTCGCTTTACCACTTATATTGTATATATTGTTTCACTTTACCCTGTAAACTCTATATTGTCACACTTTGTCACCTGCACTCTTCTGTATGTCTCACTTTAACCTTTTCCATCAAATAAGTTAAAAGACTCGTTAATTGTGTTGACGTGGTATAGGCAATCTAGTCTTTTCTACTAAGTTGGTTGTGTGGCATATAACATGTCCTATTAGTGGAACCCATGGAAACTGATGTGGGTTAAACTCCAATTAGGTTGTGATTTCTCCATGTTAAGAGAAAAACAGAAGAAGAGAAGGTTGAATTTTAAGGTTCACGAGTTAATTTAGAAGTTTTCGCATCCCTTTGCAAATATTTAACCCACCAACATAGTTGAAAAGCCTAAATTGTCCATGCCATGTCAAAAAAACTAACAGTTATTTTATCTTATTTGACAGAAGAGGGTAAAGTGATATATGTAGGATGAGTGCAGGGGTTAAAGTGAGACAGTATAGAGTGTAAGGGGTAAAGTGAGACACGGAGAAAGAGTGCAAGTAGTAAAGTGAGATAGTATAGGGTGTAGGAGGTAAAGTGAGATTTGGTGAAGAGTACAATTGTCATAGCTAAAAATAAGCCAAATTTATATACACTGTAGTCTTTCGGGTCATGTTTAGATGGGTTGTTCTTGTTACGGGCAGGTATATCGATGATGATCAGCTAGTCGTAAACTTGAAAAAGCACGATCCCGAATTGAAATGGCCTGATATTATGGAGTCCTGGGAGTCTCTGACAGCGGGATCCATGCAACTTTTGAAAGGAGCATCAATTTACATTGTTGGGGATTCAACTGAAATCAACCAAAAAGTGGCTCAAGAACTTGCAGTTGGTCTCGGGTATTTCCTTACTACCATTTTGTAGTTGCATGTTCATTACGATTAACTAGCTGCTATAAAGGGCACTGAGATTCAGTTGCATGGTTTGACGGCTCTGCCTATGTCTCAAATGCTTTTAAATTTTCAGTGTTTTGATTTTCCGAGTCTTCCTACATTCAGTTGTTATCTTTGGTTGATATGGTTGTAGATATACACCACTCAGTACAAAGGAGTTTATGGAATCATTTGCGAAGCAGACCATTGAATCATGTGAGTACTTCGCTTGAACCTTGTAATTGTTCATTGAGCCTCAACTCGCTATGCCTTCTTCCCTTGATCTGTAATCTCAGGATGTGCACATTATTGAAACTTGAACTCGTTATGATCAATGTCAGTATCAACATAGTCATCTTTCTTTTTGGGGTGTGCACTAAGTGAATCAATGAAGTTTTAGATTATAGAATTAACTTAGATGGAAATGTGAAACAACGCTATTGTGAATGATGACGGGGTGGGCTGGCCAAGCATTAACATAGCACATGGATTATGACTGAATCACTTTTAGTGTTTGTTTGTGATATTCTCTTAGTTTTTCATACATGTTTTTCACATTTAATCGGACTTACTTTCATTTATTTGTGAATCGCTGATTTCCTTACCCAAAAAATCTTCTTCAAAGCTGATCTAGTTGTGCTATTAGTTACCCTGTATTCATTATTTTATCAATTCCAGGGTTGCTTGCTGAAGGTTCTGACTCTGTAGCAGAAGCAGAAAGTGCTGTATTACAAAGTTTAAGTAGGTACTATATGTCAATGATTTTTTATTTTGTGTTTTCTTTTGGGGATATGGCGGGGGCAGGAGGGTGTTGAAAAGATTGAGTATCTTTTAATGGGCGTTATTGGTGGTCTTACAGTCATGTTCGGGCAGTAGTTGCAACATTAGGAGGGCAGCACGGAGCAGCAGGAAGGGCTGATAAATGGCGTCATCTTTATGCGGGTTTCACTGTCTGGGTGTCCCAAACTGAAGCTACAGGTAACTTGTCTTTGATCCTTTCTTTCATTACTTTTGTTTGGACAAGATACTCATCTACGACCAGTGTCTATCATGCTTAATACAATTGGTTGTAGGTTGTTCTCTAGTATCATTAGGAACCTGTGTAGGCTGATTAGAATTGTTAATAAAGTTGATAGATATTGTTTATTTACCATTTTTCCCAATAGCATATTCATTACAACTGGAAAATAAAATAAAAAGCATATGCTGTTGGAACTGAAAACAAAAGCACAAGTGATTGTAACTGATAAAACAAATTCACACTTCAACAGAATGTGGATCAACAACTATTTCATATGTAAGCCTTCCCATCGACATGTGAGACTACATAAAATTGGGAGGTTATCGTTGCATGAATTTGAAGTCAGGATCTGCTATAGTATGGTAATAAATTTTGCAGTTGGCCATTTTTTTTAAAAGTTCAAGTCATCGCAGGATGGGGGCAAACATTGTCATAGTTGAGCACAATTGAAGCACTGTTGCAGACTTCACTGCAAGTCTATGGATCTTTATATTTTTATCATTTTGATTTTAGATTTAGAAATCTTTCTATCTCGTTGCAAGTTATTTATGTTTACTTGATAATTGTAGTAGCTTGGATCTATGTCATAGGGTTTTTAATCAAGATTGCAGATTGATTGTTAGTCAGGATATGTGAGCCTAAACCATAGAATTGAATAAGCATTACACTCTAATGTTTTAAATTTAAAATTTTTGGTCGGGTTTTTATAAAAAATGGTCCTGGGGCAACTCATTACTTCGTCCCTCATGTATTCATAAAGTATAAACCAATGAAATGATTGGGGTGGGGGTGGGGTTTGTTTGTTTTTGTGGGGTTGGGGGTGTGGGGGTCATGGCTAGGGAACAATGATATGGGGTGAGGTGGGGGTCGGTGGTGACTGGAGGGGATTGGGAGAGGCTGGGTCCTTTCAGATAGTTGTAGAAACAGATTGATCTGATACTGATGGATAAGAAACGTTGGCCTGGGTGTATCAGGATGAGGTTACATATTCATACGTGTAGCCACTTCACTATATATAAGCATTCATTCTCTCCCATGGATAGCTCTAGCCATTGATACCCGGAAACAATCTTTAACAAGGAATGATAAGATGCTGCAATGAATTTAGGTGCCTACGGATCACACATGCATTCTGAATGTTGTGAGTGTATAATATGCATCTTCTTCTTTTTTTGTATAACAAGACCAGTGTATCTCTTCTTATGTCAAATCCTCTTATGCTACCATGTCCATAACCATCCAGTTATATAATTTTTGCAAGCTAGTGTTTCTGATTCACTTTGCATTTCTCTAGGACTATTTGATACATTACCAACTGTTCATAGAGCTGGGTATTCGAGAAAGTTATTATTGTGTTTAATTTCTTTTTAACATCCTGTAGCAACGTAATATATGATAAGTAATTGATTCTGTTTTAGAGTTCTACATATGACATTTGGAGGATGAGCCCAGCCCCCACCAAGTAGGTCTGCGTGTTCTAGATTGTAACCTAGTGATGTATAATCATTGGTCATATCTGCATCGTTAGTCCATATCTTCTGAAATCATTATGTTGTGATTATACTCAATTTGCATGTTTCTTCTCTATGCAGATGAAGATTCAGCAAAGGAAGAGGCTAGGAGTCATATTAAAGATGGCAGCCTAGCTTACTCAAACGCAGATGTTGTTGTCAAACTACAAGGTTGGGATGCAGTTCATGCTAAAAGTGTGGCTCAGGGATGCTTGAGTGCCCTTAAACAATTAATTCTATCGGACAAGAAACTTCCAAGTAAGTGTGTAATAATGTTTATACTTGTGACTTTAATCTTCTTGTAGATGGCATAGCGAGTGATCCGTTCTCTTCTATTGTTCTGCTTCTTTTCAGACGGTTGGTATATTGTAAAAGTCAATTAAATCGTAAGACTTGGAAAGTAAACACTCCAACTTGAAGCAGTTACGCAATTGCTGCTAACAAATGCTAAAACGAATATTAATCGAACGAAAACAAAAAACCTTTGTCATGCTTCATTTCGTCAATGAGAAAACAAGCCACGGACAAATCTATCCCTCTTGTACAACATCTTGAACGGAGATACTAATGTAACAGAATAACAGTAGCTTGGCACCTCCACCCCTTATGGTAAATAATTTCTGAGACATGGAAAGTACAGACTTCAACTTGAACCACCAATATCTGTTCTAACAAAACCTATTGTTTTGAAGACCGTGTAACGTTGAGGTATACATTGTAGTCTGTAGTAGTGTTGCATCATTTATGTTGACGACCTTATAAGAAAACTCGAAAGGTGGCTACTTTGAGAGTTGGTATTGCTTAGTTCTGTGTTTGAATAATGCTAAAGAATGGTATCACAAAGCCCAGGTTGTTTTTACGGCCCTGTTACTGACAAGCCCTTTGTTTGTGGTTGCTTTTGAAGGTAAGAAGAGCCTCTACATAAGGTTGGGATGCCGAGGTGACTGGCCAAACATCAAGCCTCCTGGATGGGATCCGTCAGCTGGAGATGATGTTTCTCCCAACGGATTGTAACAATAATTGCTGCACTGCATGTAAGATTGGAAGGCAATTCGGCTCCAACCTAGTCCAACACCAAGCCATATAGTCGGCTTGCAAGCAGAGGAACCTCCATCCAAGTCACTTCTGAGATGTAAAACTCAAACCTTTGTAATCAAAGTAAATGATGGTTTTGGCAAAATCGTCATTGGAGATGGCCAAGGTTTGCAGATCTCCAATGTCGGTTCTGCTATTTTAAGCACGCAACATGCTAAATTCCCTCTTTCAAAACTATTACATGTTCTTAAGATTGTTTATATAACACACTGTTAGTCCATCAGTTTGTTCAAGATAACAATTTGGTGAACATAAGTGGAAGCAGCGGTGAATTTGCCCAAGGCCTCTACTAGAACCCTACTGGTATGACGTGTCCTCGTCATATCACAACGTCATTATCAATAGAACGAAATACATGTATTTCAATTTATACAATCAAATTATCATTCAACTATTAATCCCATATCCTATTATGATAAGACTACTGAAAAGTGCCTAAATGGGAGGAGTTGTAACAGGTATAATCAATGCAAATGTGACGAGCAAGTACACCAAGGGACACTGTCTATCCTTTTGCCTTCATCAACTTTTGTGCAAGATTACTAATTCCTTTCAATCCAGAATTTTCACTATGTAAACGCATGTTAAAAATATAATTTCTAAGTTCATATTCAAGAAGTGTGAGCTTCATAGGAGATCTTTAGATTAAAAGTCTCCTTCTTTCATGTGCCTTACCTAGTATAGTATAAGGGTCAAATAAAATTTTAAAAGGGAGATTTCAAACTAATTGAGGTCAGCAACAGCCAATGACCCCACATTGGCTTTGTTACTGGTCCCACGTCAACATATTTAACCGTTTTTTTACTAAAAACAAAAATATAAATTAAATTTTGAGTTTAAAAAGATAAAGTGACGATTTTTAAATTTAAAAAATTAAATTTTAAAAGTCTAGTTAAAAATAAAGAAAACTCATAAAAAGTTCAAAAAAAATTTCTTTTTTAATGAAAAATCTTTTTTAAAGATATAGTAAATAGTACCAATTAAAAATAAAAATATAATTTATCGTTAAAAGTAAAGCGTTTTTTTAAAACTCTTTTAAAAATAAGCGTTTTTTCATCCTTGGTTCCAAAACTTTGGATACTCACAGCAACAGCAAGTCGGGAAGCAGCTAAAAAGCCTGCGGTTCTGTGTCCGGTTTGGAAAACGGAAGACGAACTTGTAATTTACAGCATACGTCCCTCCTCTGCGCTTCTCTTTCACTGACGCCCACTGTCTAGGAGCTTCAGAACCAGGTATATGTCCCTCCTCTGCACTTCTCACTTCTTTGATTTCTAAGAGCCACAATACTTTTTTGTTTCTTTGATTTTTACCTCTTAATTTTCTTAATATTTTGGTTTTACCCCAATTATTTGATTGTCTAATGGGTATCTGCTACTAGCTGGTATTGTAATAATGTTCTGAAATTAAAGCGATAAACCCTAAAAACCCTAAACCCTAAACCTCAAACGATATCAATAACAATTGCGGACTAGGATTGAGTTGTACTTTGCAATCTGACATGACCTCATGTTTTAATTGCTAGCTTTTGGATTTTGAGCACACGCTTCCGCCAGGAATGGGGAAGCAGGATGGTAACTTGTGGGACGATTCCGCTCTTATCCATGCTTTTGACGATGCCATGTCCAGCTACAAGGTTTCACCTCTCTCTTTCTCTCTCTCTCTCTCTCTCTCTCTCTCTCTCTCTCTCTCTCTCTCTCTCTCTCTCTCGTTTACACGCGCTCGCATGTCATTTCTGGATTTACTTAAATTTGGCTAAATGTGCAAGGCTTCAGTATTTTGAGCAGAGCACTAGTTTAGTTGACTTTGGCTTCAACTGCAGATTGTTTTCATTTTTCGACTTTTGCTTTCTTCATTATTATTTGACACGGCTCAATTTGATACTACTGATATGTTGTTAAAGACCTCAAAATGGAGAATCATGGTCTAGCTTTTGGTTTTCTTCTCTTCTTCTTCTTTTTTTGTGTCCTGACATTATATATGACCTTTTACGTAATTTCCAGAAAATTCATAGCAAGAAAACTAATGAGGGTTCAACCAAGGAAGAAAAGGTTGAGATCAGCACAGGAGAACCAGTCATTACAAAGGTTGACGAACATGACGAGGCTAAGAGGTGAGTTTATGACCTGGCAAAGCTTCTCTTTGATGAATTTTATAATTTTGATTGTTATTGAAGGAAGGAGGTCGCACTTGGTGCGATGGCAAGTGCCTTCGCCCATGAGCGGTAGGTCTCGGGTTCGAGACTTGGGAGCAGCCTCTCCATAAATGGAGGTAAGGCTAGCCGACATTCACCTCTCCCAGACCCTGCGTAAAGCGGGAGCCTTATGCACTGGGTACGACCGATTGTTATTGAAGGAAGAAGAATAATGGCTTTATAAAGTGGTGTACTTATTCTTATACTAATGAACTCTTACCTATTTTTTCGTATTTGATAAGCTGAATATTTCTCCTGTATCTTTCATCTGCTCCCTTTATCTTCCCATATAGTTTGTTTATCAAAAACAATAAGAATAAGTATTGTAGTTTTACTGATTACAGTTTTGAACTTTTAGATTTCGACTTTTTCTTTTTTTCTTTTTCTTTTTCTGTCGAGAGGTTTGAGTTGTTGAATTCAGATAATAACTATGAAAGATTTTGCATGGAAGTTGGTATAATAATCAAAAGATAGTGCTGTTGGAACTTCGAATCTGGCAGTTCTGTTGAATTCAGAGATATTGGGGTTTACGGGTTGTAGTCTGATTCGGCTTGTGCTACTTTTCTATTGGCCCTACAAATCCAAATTTGATCAACTTTGGGCCTGAATATACATTTTATTAAACAACTACTATGAAATAACAGTAAAGTGGACAATTAACCCACCATGAGTAGAAGAGAAAACAACATTTATTCAACAAACTATACCTACCTTAAGAAACTAGAATTAAACATGCTTACAACTTATGAGTATGGAATAATGAATAAAAAGGTAAAATCTACATAACCAACATTGCAGTATTCCTAGACTAAAGTTTTCAGTACCTTTGTTCACCTCTATCTTCCTTGTTCAAGTCCATCCCAAGGCCTAATTTCACCATTTCTTTAAAAATACTTGCAGTGTTTAAATTTTCAAGAATGCCATAGCAGTCACTTCTCTTTTTATGCATACGAATTTATGTTATATTTTCTGATTTCCGGTCAAGGAGAAAGTTATTGGCAATCTTTATAATGTGTTTCATTTTGATGTTTGGTTTCATGTAAACTTAACTCAAAAGAGTTGTTTGTAGAGCATATGTTTTGGGGGTTATGTATCATGTAATTTAATCAATATAGTGCATAAAAAAAGAGGTCAAAATTAACAGAAGATGTTAGAAGTCAACTAATTATCACTCCTAGAATATCATGCAAAGAACTAACTAAGCATGAAAAACTATAGTTAATTCATAAGATGGGGGTCATTTGCAATGCATGGCTCAACTCATCTGATAATAGTTTCTAGCATGGTACGAAAACCTTAAATTTGTATCTGATAGTAGTTAACTAAGCGGGTGATGCAGTAACTGTTCAATTTATCTTCTTTGAATATATACAAATAAGTTTTCTACCATCTATTGTGCTTTAAGAAGACAAGGGGATGCAGATGGCCATAGCAGTGATACATTAAAGACTACCGCAGAACTTGGACAGACCACTAATCATTCAGAAGTGAAAGAAAATGATCATGTAGATTTGCATGTACCGGAGCCCTATTTACAAGCTGCACAGGATGCGCAAAATGACTATTCATGTTCACAAGTTACAGAAGATTATAACCAGTTACTCAATCAGTATTATGAGGTTGAGGAGAAAAGACAGAAGCTTCTAGTTCAGCTTCAACAATTCGGTGGTTGGAACTACCAATATTCTGGTGAAGGTTCTGGTTCCGTCATACAAGGCTATACTGATTTTAGCTCTCAGCAGCATGCTCTATATACATGCAATCCTTCTAATCCAGCTGTTGTCTGTTCATGTTGTCCATACCTGTGTCAGTGCTTGATGACTCCATGCACTTCAGTTCCTTCTAGTTTACAGGGGGGATCATGTGCCGGTAAAACTTGTACTGATGCTTGTTTACAAACAAGCTTTGGGAGATCAGTTTCTCTTGAAGATGATAGAATGGTCAAGACAGCAATGGGGACTGCAGAAAGAGCATTATCATCAATGAAAACGAAAATTTCTGGTGATTCTGACATAAGTGAAGGTAAGCGTGGCTTCCTAATAGATATATCTTCTGGAACATGTGTCATCTAAAGAAGTCGCCATGAAAGAAATAGTCTAATAGAATTTTCATTCGTTAATACAAGTGAGGTAATAATTTTTTATTTACTAGGTTGCCTTGATTATAATAAACTATTTTGAAGGCCAGATGCCCAGAGTTAAAACCTAGTATGAGTTTCTAGTCTTAGTGTAGATATTTATCTGTTCTTATGGGTTACAATGCTGTTTTTCGTCTCTTTCTTAAATTAAAGAATGGAAATTTTTTATTTTTGAACCATTTGAAGAATGTGAGAAACCAACATGTGTTTTTTCTGTTTGTTCTTCTTCTTCTTTCGTCTGTTTTGTCTGTTCTCTCTGTGTGCTTCTGTGAATCAATTTTATGTTGTTGATATTGATGTTACGTTTTAAACACACACAGAGACACACAAAACGTGAATATGCTTCTACAATATGGTTATACCATATTTGAGTTCTGTATGTTATCGAAGTTTTATTGTTGAATGATTTTGCTAGGACAGTTGATTATGCATTAAATGGGTTCAGTTTTACTAATTGGCCGTGGCTTTAGAATTTGATTTTAATCTTACCATTGTCGACTCGTACAAAAGATGGAATTCGAGTCTCATGCATCAACCAAATACTCAAAATATCCACGAGTTCACAATCACTACACAATGAACCTTTGTTTTTTAAACTGAAGTATGTTATTTCATGTCCCGATGGCTGTATATTCATGTCCTTTTTGACAAGTGGAAGGTTATCATATCTGATTTTACTTCTTTACATGTGGTACAGATAAAAAGGATGAGAATAGGGAAGGGGAAATGGCTGAAAGTACTAGCTCAGAGACAGATCTTACTGCTGTATTAAATGCATGGTATTCTGCAGGTTTCTATACTGGCAAGTATGTTGTCACTTCCCTGCTTAAAATGATTTAAGTTCAAATTAGTTTTGCATCTTCATATGATGGATAGTTCTTCACTTTCCGCATTGTAATACTTTGTTGCCAAC